AACAACAGCTTAACGCATTCATGCCATTACACATGCTCAAAAACGTTCAAACTCGCCGAAACAAACACTTTTCATAACAACAAGCCAAACTCATCAAAAGAACACTAAAACAACAGCTTAACGCATTAATGCCATTAAACATGCTCAAAAACATTCAAACTCGCCAAAACAAACACTTTTCATAACAACAAGCCAAACTCATCAAAAGAACACTAAAACAACAGCTTGACGCATTCATGCCATTACACATGCTAAAAAACCTTCAAACTGGCCAAAACGAAACACTTTTCATAACAACAAGCCAAACTCATCAAAAGAACACTAAAACAACAGCTTAACGCAGTCATGCCATTACACATGCTCAAAAACGTTCAAACTCGCCAAAACAAACACTTTTCATAACAACAAGCCAAACTCATCAAAAGAACACTAAAACAACAACACAAGGGATTACTAATTCAACACATTCATGCCATTACACATGCTCAAAAACCTTCAAACTGGCCAAAACGAAACAATGTTCATAACAACAAGCCAAACTCATCAAAAGAACACTAAAACAACAGCTTAACGCATTCATGCCATTACACATGCTCAAAAACGTTCAAACTCGCCAAAACAAACACTTTTCATAACAACAAGCCAAACTCATCAAAAGAACACTAAAACAACAGCTTAACGCATTCATGCCATTACACATGCTCAAAAACGTTCAAACTCGCCAAAAAAAACCACTTTTCATAACAACAAGCCAAACTCATTAAAAGAACACTAAAACAACAGCTTAACGCATTCATGCCATTACACATGCTCAAAAACCTTCAAACTGGCCAAAACGAACAATGTTCATAACAACAAGCCAAACTCATCAAAAGAACACTAAAACAACAGCTTAACACAAGGATTACAATTCAACACATTCTCACACATGCTCAAAAACCTTCAAACTGGCCAAAACGAACAATGTTCATAACAACAAGCCAAACTCATCAAAAGAACACTAAAACAACAGCTTAACGCATTCATGCCATTACACATGCTCAAAAACGTTCAAACTCGCCAAAACAAACACTTTTCATAACAACAAGCCAAACTCATCAAAAGAACACTAAAACAACAGCTTAACACAAGGGATTACTAATTCAACACATTCATGCCATTACACATGCTCAAAAACCTTCAAACTGGCCAAAACGAACAATGTTCATAACAACAAGCCAAACTCATCAAAAGAACACTAAAACAACAGCTTAACGCATTCATGCCATTACACATGCTCAAAAACGTTCAAACTCGCCAAAACAAACACTTTTCATAACAACAAGCCAAACTCATCAAAAGAACACTAAAACAACAGCTTAACACAAGGGATTACTAATTCAACACATTCATGCCATTACACATGCTCAAAAACCTTCAAACTGGCCAAAACGAACAATGTTCATAACAACAAGCCAAACTCATCAAAAGAACACTAAAACAACAGCTTAACGCATTCATGCCATTACACATGCTCAAAAACGTTCAAACTGCCAAAACAACAACTGTTCATAACAACAAGCCAAACTCATCAAAAGAACACTAAAACAACAGCTTAACGCATTCATGCCATTACACATGCTCAAAAACCTTCAAACTGGCCAAAACGAACAATGTTCATAACAACAAGCCAAACTCATCATAAGAACACTAAAACAACAGCTTAACACAAGGGATTCTAATTCAACACATTCATGCCATTACACATGCTCAAAAACCTTCAAACTGGCCAAAACGAACAATGTTCATAACAACAAGCCAAACTCATCAAAAGAACACTAAAACAACAGCTTAACGCATTCATGCCATTACACATGCTCAAAAACGTTCAAACTCGCCAAAACAAACACTTTTCATAACAACAAGCCAAACTCATCAAAAGAACACTAAAACAACAGCTTAACGCATTCATGCCATTACACATGCTCAAAAACGTTCAAACTCGCCAAAACAAACACTTTTCATAACAACAAGCCAAACTCATCAAAAGAACACTAAAACAACAGCTTAACGCATTCATGCCATTACACATGCTCAAAAACATTCAAACTCGCCAAAACAAACACTTTTCATAACAACAAGCCAAACTCATCAAAAGAACACTAAAACAACGGCTTAACACAAGGGATTACTAATTCAACACATTCATGCAATTACACATGCTCAAAAACGTTCAAACTCGCCAAAACAAACACTTTTCATAACAACAAGCCAAACTCATCATAAGAACACTAAAACAACAGCTTAACGAATTCGTGCAATTACACATGCTCAAAAACGTTCAAACTCGCCAAAACAAACACTTTTCATAACAACAAGCCAAACTCATCAAAAGAACACTAAAACAACAGCTTAACACAAGGGATTACTAATTCAACACATTCATGCCATTAAACATGCTAAAAAACGTTCAAACTCGCCAAAACGAACAATGTTCATAACAAAAAGCCAAACTCATCAAAAGAACACTAAAACAACAGCTTAACGCATTCATGCCATTACACATGCTCAAAAACGTTCAAACTCGCCAAAACAAACACTTTTCATAACAACAAGCCAAACTCATCAAAAGAAACACTAAAACAACAGCTTAACGCATTCATGCCATTACACATGCTCAAAAACCTTCAAACTCGCCAAAACAAACACTTTTCATAACAACAAGCCAAACTCATCAAAAGAACACTAAAACAACAGCTTAACGCATACATGCCATTTAACATGCTCAAAAACCTTCAAACTCGCCAAAACAAACACTTTTCATAACAACAAGCCAAACTCATCAAAAGAACACTAAAACAACAGCTTAACACAAGGGATTACTAATTCAACACATTCATGCCATTACACATGCTCAAAAACCTTCAAACTGGCCAAAACGAACAATGTTCATAACAACAAGCCAAACTCATCAAAAGAACACTAAAACAACAGCTTAACGCATTCATGCCATTACACATGCTCAAAAACGTTCAAACTCGCAATAACAAACACTTTTCATAACAACAAGCCAAACTCATCAAAAGAACACTAAAAACAACAGCTTAACACAAGGGATTACTAATTCAACACATTCATGCCATTACACATGCTCAAAAACCTTCAAACTGGCCAAAACGAACAATGTTCATAACAACAAGCCAAACTCATCAAAAGAACACTAAAACAACAGCTTAACGCATTCATGCCATTACACATGCTAAAAAACGTTCAAACTCGCCAAAACAAACACTTTTCATAACAACAAGCCAAACTCATCAAAAGAACACTAAAACAACAGCTTAAACCATTCATGCCATTACACATGCTCAAAAACGTTCAAACTCGCCAAAACAACCACTTTTCATAACAACAAGCCAAACTCATCAAAAGAACACTAAAACAACAGCTTAACACATTCATGCCATTACACATGCTCAAAAACCTTCAAACTGGCCAAAACGAACAATGTTCATAACAACAAGCCAAACTCATCAAAAGAACACTAAAACAACAGCTTAACGCATTCATGCCATTACACATGCTAAAAAAACGTTCAAACTCGCAAAAACAAACAATGTTCATAACAACAAGCCAAACTCATCAAAAGAACACTAAAACAACAGCTTAACACATTCATGCCATTACACATGCTCAAAAACCTTCAAACTGGCCAAAACGAACAATGTTCATAACAACAAGCCAAACTCATCATAAGAACACTAAAACAACAGCTTAACGCATTCATGCCATTACACATGCTCAAAAACGTTCAAACTCGCCAAAACAAACACTTTTCATAACAACAAGCCAAACTCATCAAAAGAACACTAAAACAACAGCTTAACGCATTCATGCCATTACACATGCTCAAAAACGTTCAAACTACCAAAAACAAACAGTTTTCATAAGAACAAGCCAAACTCATCAAAAGAACACTAAAACAACGGCTTAACACAAGGGATTACTAATTCAACACATTCATGCCATTACATATGCTAAAAAACCTTCAAACTGGCCAAAACGAACAATGTTCATAACAACAAGCCAAACTCATCAAAAGAACACTAAAACAACAGCTTAACACATTCATGCCATTACACATGCTCAAAAACGTTCAAACTCTCCAAAACAAACACTTTTCATAAAAACAAGCCAAACTCATCAAAAGAACACTAAAACAACGGCTTAACACAAAGGATAACTAATTCAACACATTCATGCCATTACACATGCTAAAAAACCTTCAAACTGGCCAAAACGAACAATGTTCATAACAACAAGCCAAACTCATCAAAAGAACACTAGCACAACAGCTTAACGCATTCATGCCATCAAACATGCTCAAAAACGTTCAAACTCGCCAAAACAAACACTTTTCATAACAACAAGCCAAACTCATCAAAAGAACACTAAAACAACAGCTTAACACAAGGGATAACTAATGCAACACATTCATGCCATTACACATGCTCAAAAACCTTCTGACTGGCCAAAACGAACAATGTTCATAACAACAAGCCAAACTCATCAAAAGAACACTAAAACAACAGCTTAACGCATTCATGCCATTACACATCCTCAAAAACGTTCAAACTCGCCAAAACAAACACTTTTCATAACAACAAGCCAAACTCATCAAAAGAACACTAAAACAACAGCTTAACGCATTCATGCCATTACACATGCTCAAAAACGTTCAAACTCGCCAAAACAAACACTTTTCATAACAACAAGCCAAACTCATCCAAAGAACACTAAAACAACAGCTTAACACATTCATGCCATTACACATGCTCAAAAACGTTCAAACTCGCCAAAACGAACAATGTTCATAACAACAAGCCAAACTCATCAAAAGAACACTAAAACAACAGCTTAACGCATTCATGCCATTACACATGCTCAAAAACGTTCAAACTCGCCAAAACAAACACTTTTCATAACAACAAGCCAAACTTATCAAAAGAACACTAAAACCACAGCTTCACGCATTCATGCCATTACACATGCTCAAAAACGTTCAAACTCTCCAAAAACAAACAATGTTCATAACAACAAGCCAAAACTCATCAAAAGAACACTAAAACAACAGCTTAACACAAACATGCCATTAAACATGCTCAAAAACCTTCAAACTCGCCAAAACAAACACTGTTCATAACAAGCCAAACTCATCATAAGAACACTAAAACAACAGCTTCACACATTCATGCCATTACACATGCTCAAAAACCTTCAAACCTCGCCAAAACAAACAATGCTCATGACAACAAGCCAAACTCATCAAAAGAACACTAAAACCACAGCTTCACGCATTCATGCCATTACACATGCTCAAAAGCCTTCAAGCTCACCAAAACGAACAATGTTCATAACAACAAGCCAAACTCATCAAAAGAACACGAAAACAACAGCTTAACACAAGGGATTACTAATTCAACACATTCATGCCATTACACATACTCAAAGACCTTCAAACTCGCCAAAACGAACAATGTTCATAACAAGAAGCCAAACTCATCAAAAGAACACTAAAACAACAGCTTAGCACAAACATGCCATTACACATGCTCAAAAACCTTCAATCTCGTCAAAACAAACAATGCTCATGACAACAAGCCAAACTCATCAAAAGAACACTAAAACCACAGCTTAACACAAGGGATTACTAATTCAACACATTTATGCCATTACACATGCTAAAATACCTTCAAAATTGCCAAAACAAACACTTTTCATAACAACAAGCCAAACTCATCAAAAGAACACTAAAACAACAGCTTGACGCATTCACGCCATTACACATGCTCAAAAACGTTCAAACTCGCCAAAACAAACACTTTTCATGACAACAAGCCAAACTCATCAAAAGAACACTAAAACAACAGCTTAACGTATTCATGCCATTACACATGCTCAAAAACGTTCAAACTGGCCAAAACGAACAATGTTCATAACAACAAGCCAAACTCATCAAAAGTACACTAAAACAACATCTTAACACAATGGATTACTAATTCAACAAATTCATGCCATTAACATTCTCAAAAACCTTCAAACTGGCCATAACGAACAATGTTCATATCAACAAGCCAAACTCATCAAAAGAACACTAAAACAACAGCTTAAGGCATTCATGCCATTACACGTGCTCAAAAACGTTCAAACTCGCCAAAACAAACACTTTTTATAACAACAAGCCAAACTCATCAAAAGAACACTAAAACAACAGCTAAACACAAGGGATTACTAATTCAACACATTCATGCCATTACACATGCTAAAAAACCTTCAAACTGGCCAAAACGAACAATGTTCATAACAACAAGTAAAACTCATCAAAAGAACACTAAAACAACAGCTTAACGCATTCATGCCATTACACATGCTCAAAAACGTTCAAACTCGCCAAAAAAAACACTTTTCATAACAACAAGCCAAACTCATCAAAAGAACACTAAAACAACAGCTTAAACCATTCATGCCATTACACATGCTCAAAAACGTTCAAACTCGCCAAAACAACCACTTTTCATAACAACAAGCCAAACTCATCAAAAGAACACTAAAACAACAGCTTAACCATTCATGCCATTAAACATGCTCAAAAACCTTCAAACTGGCCAAAACGAACAATGTTCATAACAACAAGCCAAACTCATCATAAGAATACTATAACAACAGCTTAACGCATTCATGCCATTACACATGCTCAAAAACGTTCAAACTCGCCAAAACAAACAGTTTTCATAATAACAAGCCAAACTCATCAAAAGAACACTAAAACAACAGCTTAACGCATTCATGCCATTACACATGCTCAAAAACGTTCAAACTCGCCGAAACAAACACTTTTCATAACAACAAGCCAAACTCATCAAAAGAACACTAAAACAACAGCTTAACGCATTAATGCCATTAAACATGCTCAAAAACATTCAAACTCGCCAAAACAAACACTTTTCATAACAACAAGCCAAACTCATCAAAAGAACACTAAAACAACAGCTTGACGCATTCATGCCATTACACATGCTAAAAAACCTTCAAACTGGCCAAAACGAAAGATGTTCATAACAACAAGCCAAACTCATCATAAGAACACTAAAACAACAGCTTAACGCAGTCATGCCATTACACATGCTCAAAAACGTTCAAACTCGCCAAAACAAACACTTTTCATAAGAACGAGCCAAACTCATCAAAAGAACACTAAAACAACGGCTTAACACAAGGGATTACTAATTCAACACATTCATGCCATTACACATGCTAAAAAACCTTCAAACTGGCCAAAACGAACAATGTTCATAACAACAAGCCAAACTCATCAAAAGAACACTAAAACAACAGCTTAACGCATTCATGCCATTACACATACTCAAAAACTTTCAAACTCGCCAAAACAAACACTTTTCATAACAACAAGCCAAACTCATCAAAAGAACACTAAAACAACAGCTTAACGCATTCATGCCATTACACATGCTCAAAAACGTTCAAACTCGCCAAAACAACCACTCTTCATAACAACAAGCCAAACTCATCAAAAGAACACTAAAACAACAGCTTAACGCATTCATGCCATTACACATGCTCACAAACGTTCAAACTCGCCAAAACAAACACTTTTCATAACAACAAGCCAAACTCATCAAAAGAACACTAAAACAACAGCTTAACACAAGGGATTACTAATTCAACACATTCCTGCAGTTACACATGCTAAAAAACCTTCAAACTGGCCAAAACGAACAATGTTCATAACAACAAGCCAACCTCATCATAAGAACACTAAAACAACAGCTTAATGCATTAGTGCCATTACACATGCTCAAAAACGTTCAAACTCGCCAAAACAAACACTTTTCATAACAACAAGCCAAACTCATCAAAAGAACACCAAAACAACAGCTTAACACAAGGGATTACTAATTCAACACTTTCATTCCATTACACATGCTCAAAAACCTTCAAACTGGCCAAAACGAACAATGTTCATAACAACAAGCCAAACTCATCATAAGAACACTAGAACAACAGATTAACGAATTCATGCCATTACACATGCTCAAAAACGTTCAAACTCGCAAAAACAAACACTTTTCATAACAACAAGCCAAACTCATCAAAAGAACACTAAAAACAACAGCTTAACACAAGGGATTACTAATTCAACACATTCATGCCATTACATATGCTCAAAAACCTTCAAACTGGCCAAAACGAACAATGTTCATAACAACAAGCCAAACTCACCATAAGAACACTAAAACAGCAGCTTAACGCATTCATGCCATTACACATGCTAAAAACCTTCAAACTGGCCAAAACGAACAATGTTCATAACAACAAGCTAAACTCATCATAAGAACACTAAAACAACAGCTTAACGAATTCGTGCCACTACACATGCTCAAAAACGTTCAAACTCGCCAAAACAAACACTGTTCATAACAACAAGCCAAACTCATCAAAAGAACACTAAAACAACAGCTTAACACAAGGGATTTCTAATTCAACACATTCATGCCATTACACATGCTCAAAAACGTTCAAAATCGCCAAAACAAACACTTTTCATAACAACAAGCCAAACTCATCAAAAGAACACTAAAACAACAGCTTAACGCATTCATGCCATTACACATGCTCAAAAACGTTCAAACTCGCCAAAACAACCACTTTTCATAACAACAAGCCAAACTCATCAAAAGAACACTAAAACCACAGCTTAACACATTCATGCCATTACACATGCTCAAAAACCTTCAAACTGGCCAAAACGAACAATGTTCATAACAACAAGCCAAACTCATCATAAGAATACTAAAACAACAGCTTAACGCATTCATGCCATTACACATGCTCAAAAACGTTCAAACTCGCCAAAACAAACACTTTTCATAATAACAAGCCAAACTCATCAAAAGAACACTAAAACCACAGCTTAACGCATTCATGCCATTACACATGCTCAAAAACGTTCAAACTCGCCGAAACAAACACTTTTCATAACAACAAGCCAAACTCATCAAAAGAACACTAAAACAACAGCTTAACGCATTCATGCCATTAAACATGCTCAAAAACATTCAAACTCGCCAAAACAAACACTTTTCATAACAACAAGCCAAACTCATCAAGAGAACTCTAAAACAACAGCTTAACACAAGGGATTACTAATTCAACACATTCATGCAATTACACATGCTAAAAACCTTCAAACTGGCCAAAACGAACAATGTTCATAACAACAAGCCAAACTCATCATAAGAACACTAAAACAACAGCTTAACGAATTCGTGCAATTACACATGCTCAAAAACGTTCAAACTCGCCAAAACAAACACTTTTCATAACAACAAGCCAAACTCATCAAGAGAACTCTAAAACAACAGCTTAACACAAGGGATTACTAATTCAACACATTCATGCCATTACACATGCTAAAACACGTTCAAACTGGCCAAAACGAACAATGTTCATAACAAAAAGTAAAACTCATCAAAAGAACACTAAAACAACAGCTTAACGCATTCATGCCATTACATATGCTCAAAAACGTTCAAACTCGCCAAAACAAACACTTTTCATAACAAAAAGCCAAACTCATCGAAAGAAAACTAAAACAACAGCTTAACGCATTCATGCCATTACACATGCTCAAAAACGTTCAAACTCGCCAAAACAAACACTTTTCATAACAACAAGCCAAACTCATCAAAAGAACACTAAAACAAAAGCTTAACGCATACATGCCATTTAACATGCTCAAAAACCTTCAAACTCGCCAAAACAAACACTTTTCATAACAACAAGCCAAACTCATCAAAAGAACACTAAAACAACAGCTTAACACAAGGGATTACTAATTCAACACATTCATGCCATTACACATGCTCAAAAACCTTCAAACTGGCCAAAACGAACAATGTTCATAACAACAAGACAAACTCATCAAAAGAACACTAAAACAACAGCTTAACGCATTCATGCCAATACACATGCTCAAAAACGTTCAAACTCGCAATAACAAACACTTTTCATAACAACAAGCCAAACTCATCAAAAGAACACTAAAAACAACAGCTTAACACAAGGGATTACTAATTCAACACATTCATGCCATTACACATGCTCAAAAACGTTCAAACTACCAAAAACAAACAGTTTTCATAAGAACAAGCCAAACTCATCAAAAGAACACTAAAACAACGGCTTAACACAAGGGATTACTAATTCAACACATTCATGCCATTACATATGCTAAAAAACCTTCAAACTGGCCAAAACGAACAATGTTCATAACAACAAGCCAAACTCATCAAAAGAACACTAAAACAACAGCTTAACACATTCATGCCATTACACATGCTCAAAAACGTTCAAACTCTCCAAAACAAACACTTTTCATAAAAACAAGCCAAACTCATCAAAAGAACACTAAAACAACGGCTTAACACAAAGGATAACTAATTCAACACATTCATGCCATTACACATGCTAAAAAACCTTCAAACTGGCCAAAACGAACAATGTTCATAACAACAAGCCAAACTCATCAAAAGAACACTAGCACAACAGCTTAACGCATTCATGCCATCAAACATGCTCAAAAACGTTCAAACTCGCCAAAACAAACACTTTTCATAACAACAAGCCAAACTCATCAAAAGAACACTAAAACAACAGCTTAACACATTCATGCCATTACACATGCTCAAAAACGTTCAAACTCGCCAAAACGAACAATGTTCATAACAACAAGCCAAACTCATCAAAAGAACACTAAAACAACAGCTTAACGCATTCATGCCATTACACATGCTCAAAAACGTTCAAACTCGCCAAAACAAACACTTTTCATAACAACAAGCCAAACTTATCAAAAGAACACTAAAACCACAGCTTCACGCATTCATGCCATTACACATGCTCAAAAACGTTCAAACTCGCAAAAACAAACAATGTTCATAACAACAAGCCAAACTCATCAAAAGAACAATAAAACAACAGCTTAACACAAACATGCCATTAAACATGCTCAAAAACCTTCAAACTCGCCAAAACAAACACTGTTCATAACAAGCCAAACTCATCATAAGAACACTAAAACAACAGCTTAACACACATTCATGCCATTACACATGCTCAAAAACCTTCAAACTCGCCAAAACAAACAATGTTCATAACAACAAGCCAAACTCATCAAAAGAACACTAAAACAACAGCTTAACGCATTCATGCCATTACACATGCTCAAAAACCTTCAAACTCGCCAAAACGAACAATGTTCATAACAACAAGCCAAACTCATCAAAAGAACACTAAAACAACAGCTTAACACAAGGGATTACTAATTCAACACATTCATGCCATTACACATCTCAAAAACCTTCAAACTCGCCAAAACGAACAATGTTCATAACAACAAGCCAAACTCATCAAAAGAACACTAAAACAACAGCTTAACGCATTCATGCCATTACACATGCTCAAAAACCTTCAAACTCGCCAAAACAAACAATGTCATAACAACAAGCCAAACTCATCAAAAGAACACTAAAACAACAGCTTAACACAAGGGATTACTAATTCAACACATTATGCCATTACACATGCTAAAAACCTTCAAACTGCCAAAACAAACACTTTTCATAACAACAAGCCAAACTCATCAAAAGAACACTAAAACAACAGCTTAACGCATTCATGCCATTACACATGCTCAAAAACGTTCAAACTCGCCAAAACAAACACTTTTCATGACAACAAGCCAAACTCATCAAAAGAACACTAAAACAACAGCTTAACGTATTCATGCCATTACACATGCTCAAAAACGTTCAAACTGGCCAAAACGAACAATGTTCATAACAACAAGCCAAACTCATCAAAAGTACACTAAAACAACATCTTAACACAATGGATTACTAATTCAACACATTCATGCCATTAACATGCTCAAAAACCTTCAAACTGGCCAAAACGAACAATGTTCATAACAACAAGCCAAACTCATCAAAAGAACACTAAAACAACAGCTTAACGCATTCATGCCATTACACATGCTCAAAAACGTTCAAACTCGCAATAACAAACACTTTTCATAACAACAAGCCAAACTCATCAAAAGAACACTAAAAACAACAGCTTAACACAAGGGATTACTAATTCAACACATTCATGCCATTACACATGTTCAAAAACCTTCAAACTGGCCAAAACGAACAATGTTCATAACAACAAGTAAAACTCATCAAAAGAACACTAAAACAACAGCTTAACGCATTCATGCCATTACACATGCTCAAAAACGTTCAAACTCGCCAAAACAAACACTTTTCATAACAACAAGCCAAACTCATCAAAAGAACACTAAAACAACAGCTTAAACCATTCATGCCATTACACATGCTCAAAAACGTTCAAACTCGCCAAAACAACCACTTTTCATAACAACAAGCCAAACTCATCAAAAGAACACTAAAACAACAGCTTAACACATTCATGCCATTACACATGCTCAAAAACCTTCAAACTGGCCAAAACGAACAATGTTCATAACAACAAGCCAAACTCATCAAAAGAACACTAAAACAACAGCTTAACGCATTCATGCCATTACACATGCTAAAAAACGTTCAAACTCGCAAAAACAAACAATGTTCATAACAACAAGCCAAACTCATCAAAAGAACACTAAAACAACAGCTTAACGCATTCATGCCATTACACATGCTCAAAAACGTTCAAACTCGCAAAAACAAACAATGTTCATAACAAAAAGCCAAACTCATCAAAAGAACACTAAAAAAACAGCTTAACACAAGGGATTACTAATTCAACACATTCATGCCATTACACATGCTCAAAAATCTTCAAACTGGCCAAAACGAACAATGTTCATAACAACAAGCCAAACTCATCAAAAGAACACTAAAACAACAGCTTCACGCATTCATGCCATTACACATACTCAAAAACGTTCAAACTCGCCAAAACAAACACTTTTCATAACAACAAGCCAAACTCATCAAAAGAACACTAAAACAACAGCTTAACGCATTTATGCCATTACACATGCTCAAAAACGTTCAAACTACCAAAAACAAACACTTTTCATAAGAACAAGCCAAACTCATCAAAAGAACACTAAAACAACGGCTTAACACAAGGGATTACTAATTCAACACATTCATGCCATTACATATGCTAAAAAACCTTCAAACTGGCCAAAACGAACAATGTTCATAACAACAAGCCAAACTCATCAAAAGAACACTAAAACAACAGCTTAACACATTCATGCCATTACACATGCTCAAAAACGTTCAAACTTGCCAAAACAAACACTTTTCATAAAAACAAGCCAAACTCATCAAAAGAACACTAAAACAACGGCTTAACACAAAGGATAACTAATTCAACACATTCATGCCATTACACATGCTAAAAAACCTTCAAACTGGCCAAAACGAACAATGTTCATAACAACAAGCCAAACTCATCAAAAGAACACTAGCACAACAGCTTAACGCATTCATGCCATCAAACATGCTCAAAAACGTTCAAACTCGCCAAAACAAACACTTTTCATAACAACAAGCCAAACTCATCAAAAGAACACTAAAACAACAGCTTAACACAAGGGATAACTAATGCAACACATTCATGCCATTACACATGCTCAAAAACCTTCTGACTGGCCAAAACGAACAATGTTCATAACAACAAGCCAAACTCATCAAAAGAACACTAAAACAACAGCTTAACGCATTCATGCCATTACACATGCTCAAAAACGTTCAAACTCGCCAAAACAAACACTTTTCATAACAACAAGCCAAACTCATCAAAAGAACACTAAAACAACAGCTTAACGCATTCATGCCATTACACATGCTCAAAAACGTTCAAACTCGCCAAAACAAACACTTTTCATAACAACAAGCCAAACTCATCAAAAGAACACTAAAACAACAGCTTAACACATTCATGCCATTACACATGCTCAAAAACGTTCAAACTCGCCAAAATGAACAATGTTCATAACAACAAGCCAAACTCATCAAAAGAACACTAAAACAACAGCTTAACGCATTCATGCCATTACACATGCTCAAAAACGTTCAAACTCGCCAAAACAAACACTTTTCATAACAACAAGCCAAACTTATCAAAAGAACACTAAAACCACAGCTTCACGCATTCATGCCATTACACATGCTCAAAAACGTTCAAACTCGCAAAAACAAACAATGTTCATAACAACAAGCCAAACTCATCAAAAGAACACTAAAACAACAGCTTAACACAAACATGCCATTAAACATGCTCAAAAACCTTCAAACTCGCCAAAACAAACACTGTTCATAACAAGCCAAACTCATCATAAGAACACTAAAACAACAGCTTCACACATTCATGCCATTACACATGCTCAAAAACCTTCAAACCTCGCCAAAACAAACAATGCTCATGACAACAAGCCAAACTCATCAAAAGAACACTAAAACCACAGCTTCACGCATTCATGCCATTACACATGCTCAAAAGCCTTCAAGCTCACCAAAACGAACAATGTTCATAACAACAAGCCAAACTCATCAAAAGAACACGAAAACAACAGCTTAACACAAGGGATTACTAATTCAACACATTCATGCCATTACACATACTCAAAGACCTTCAAACTCGCCAAAACGAACAATGTTCATAACAAGAAGCCAAACTCATCAAAAGAACACTAAAACAAATGCTTAGCACAAACATGCCATTACACATGCTCAAAAACCTTCAATCTCGTCAAAACAAACAATGCTCATGACAACAAGCCAAACTCATCAAAAGAACACTAAAACCACAGCTTAACACAAGGGATTACTAATTCAACACATCATGCCATTACACATGCTCAAAAACCTTCAAACTCGCCAAAACAAACACTGTTCATAACAACAAGCCAAACTCAAAATCAAAATGAAGAATTGAAGAATAAGGTGTGAAAAAAGTGCCCCGTCGCGACGTTTCGACCGCTGTGGGTCTTCTTCAGGATATGGGCACAAAAAGGGTTAGGTTAGGGTTAGGGTTAGAGGTTAGGGTTAGGATTACGGGAATAGGGGGACTGTCTCCTAGAATAGGAGACAGGAGGTGCACGGTCCATCCCCCTGTTCCCCGTCCCCCACGACCCCGTTTGGTACTGCTGATTAGTGTGGTACGGGCGTCGACCACGCCTTCTCCCGTATCGCACTTCAGTCCATTGTTCTTGCTCGTAAGTCATGACTGTTTCTAATCTTTTCAATTATTTATTACTATTTATTAATGTGGTGTATTGACTAAACTATTTATTTATTTATTGGTCTATCTACCTATCTAATTTATTTATTTATTGAAATAAAGGTATTTAAAACTAAAACAGTATAACAAAATAAATGAATTGTTCTTATTTTTTTATGCTTTTTTGTTTTTTTGTGAAATAAAAATGAAATAAAATGAAATTAAAGAAAGCAAACTGAATAAAATGTCTATGAAGACAAAGAAATAAAGAAAAGGTGTGATAAAGAGTGCCCAGTCGCGACATTTCGACCGCTGTGGGTCTTCTTCAGGCTATGGGCACAAAAGGGTTAGGGTTAGGTTTGGGGAATGAATCCCGTCTCCCATAGGGAGCGGGGAATGCACGGGCCTTCCCTCGACCGGACACGTTCCCCCGGTCCCGGAATGGCTGGCGGAAGCTCCGGCCGTTACAGCCATAGCGGACTTCCGTCCAGCCGTCAAGGCCACTCAATCGTTGAGTGGCCATCAGGTTTGTAGTTTTAATTTGTTTTTAATTATTAATTGTTTTCTTATTTGAACTTAAATTTTGATTATTCCCACAAAATAAAATAAAGGCTTTCTAAAACAAAATTGTGTTTTTAATAAACTGTTTTTAACCCTTTTCTTAAAATAAATTGTTGATTTTACTCTGTTTTTTAAACTTCCTTTTTGAAATAAAATGTTTTTAACCCTTTCTTAAAATAAATTGTTGATTTTACTTTGTTTTAAACTTCTTTCTTGAAAAGAAATATTGATTAACACCCTAAATATAAAAGTTTTCAAAATATCAACTGGTTTTTAATGTTTTTAATATTTTTGTATTTTTTTATTATTTTTTTAAATTTTTTTGCTTTTTTTAGACTTTTTAATGTTTTTTTCGAGATTTTTTAATTTGTTTTAAACCATGAACCCTTTTTAGCCTTCTTCTTGTGTGCCTCTGATGCTACGTTTCGACCTATGTTGGTCTTCCTCAGGCCAAGGCACACACAATGAATTGAAATGAAATAGGTCTTTACTTAGTCTCTGTCAGGGTGAAAATGAACTTTCCCTACTGGGTTCTGCCTTTTATACTGTCCCAGAGAAAAATACAATGAATTTACTTATTTATTAACTAATTTATAAACCCTTTTTCTACTTACTCTTTTAACCCTTTAAAACCCTTGTAGATAATTTACCATGTAATATATGATGTAATGTCTTTTTGTATTTATTTATTTATTAATTTATTTATTGACCCTCTATGGTTAGGGTTAGGGTTAGACCTAGGGTTAGGGTTAGGGTTAGGGTTACAGCCCAATCTAGGGTTAGGGTTAGGGTTAGGGCTAGGGTTAGGGTTAGGGTTAGGGTTAGAGCCCAGGTTAGGGTTAGGGCTAGGGTTAGGGTTAGGTTTAGAGCCCAGGTTAGGGTTAGGGCTATGGTTAGGGTTAGGGTTAGAACCCAGGTTAGGGTTAGGGTTAGGGTTCGGGTTAGGGGTTCGGGTTAGGGTTAGGGTATATGCTAGGGTTAGGGCCAGGGTTAGGGTTAGGGTTAGGGCTAGGGTTAGGGTTTGGCTAGGGTTAGGGTTAGGGTTGAGGCTAGGGTTAGGGTTAGGGTTTGGCTAGGGTTAGGGTTAGGGTTGATGCTAGTGTTAGGGTTAGGGTCTGGCTAGGGGTAGGGTTAGTGTTAGGGTTAGGGCTAGGGTTAGGGTTAGGGTTTGGATTAGGGTTAGGGTTTGGCTAGGGTTAGGGTTAGGGTTTATACTAGTGTTAGGGTTAGGGTTTGGCTAGGGGTAGGGTTAGGTGTGGGTAAGAGATACAGTGATAGCCCCCGCTTTTGTCTGTTGACTTGGCAGTTTGGGGTAGGCTAATCAAGGCCTTAGGGTTGATGCTAGTGTTAGGGTTAGGGTTTGGCTAGGGGTAGGGTTAGGGTTAGGGCTAGGGTTAGGGTTAGGGTTTGGCTAGGGTTAGGGTTAGGTTTTGGATTAAATTCATAGAAGGTTGATGGTCATAGAAGGTACGTTAAATGAACAGTTGTTCAAAACTGAACCTCACAGTAGTTTTATTGCTTGTGCATGAGAAATTCCTTGTACGCAGAGTCTTCATCTCAATAAAGGTTTATTTGGTTTCTGCAGGACAGTCAGAACTGAGTTAGTGGCCAATTTGGATCAGCAGGACAGTGAGGTTGCCAGGATTTTCTGGTGTTTTGGAGAACACAGGCTGTATTTTGGTTTTGTTTGAACAGAGGATGAAATGGTAGCATTTGAAATGATCAAATGCTTCAGAAGAGACAACCCATAAAAGAAAAGCATGTTTCCCTCTTAGTGTGTGGAGGAGTGTTCACATCCTCCACTGAATAAAGATGTACCACAATATGAAAATAAAAACTTACATCAAAACCTTAACCAAAGGAACAACATGTTTGTTGTTATGCTGTCTGACTATTTGCTCACACAGAAGTTGCCAAAGTGGTGAACCTGCTCCCATCCTTGCTTTTAAATAACTGAGCCTTTCTTAATGCTCCTTGCCATCATGACACTTACCTGTTTCCAATGAACTCGCTCACTTGAGGTATGATCCAAACAGGTGTTTTGGGAGGAATTCTCAATTTTCAGTCTTTTGTTGACCCTGTTGCAACTTTTTTGGAATGTCCTGCAGACATCAAATTCAAAAAAAGTAAATGAGTGAATATTTGCAAAAAACAATGATGTTTATTAGTTTGAACATAAAGTATCTCATCTTTGTTGTGTATTCAGCCCTGTTCTCTAAGCTGCAATTTTTTGTATTAACTTAAACCTACATAAACCTTTCATATCAGTTAATCCTTTAATACAGTTTACTTGATAATAAAGAGGGAATTAAAATGTGTTTTATTCCACATTTGTGATACGATCGATATAAAGACTCAGAAGTTTTGAGTTAATTAGATCAGCTCTCATGAGACAAAGTGTCAGTTAGATTGGTCTTTTGACAGTATTTTAATGAAACATGCTGCAGTCCCACTACCACTCAGTGACCCCTGTTGGTACTTTATGTAAGACTGACTGGATGGATGGCAGCCATACTTTATATTTCTGTCTGGTCTCTGAGAAACGTCCACCTGCCAGGCTTTCCTAGTTCCGCCGGATGTATCCACTACACAACACTACTAATTATACCAGTCCCAGTCTGGGCTTTGAAATTCCCCTCTCGCTTCTTCAGAGAGTGCTTTTGGGACAAGCCCAAACTTTTTCATTCTTGATGTCTACAGTCCCTCTATTTTCTTCTTCTTTCTTTAATATAAATAATTTAATATGAAAATATAAAACTTTCATTGTTGAGGACCCTCAGTTGTCTATTAGAGTTTGATTAAAGGAGTTAAATATTTTAAACTTGATCATTTTTTTCTCTGTTTTCACTTTAATGAGGCAGGGGATTGTCCTGCACGAAGGATATTTTTCACTTCATTTTCCACTGTTTCCCTCAGGATGAATCACATGGGAAAACACTGCTTTTTGACTTCCCAGTCGGCTCTCTGTCAGTCTCTCTGAGGTTGGTGTGTTGTGGTTGTGACAATAACTTCAGTGGACAGACTAACAAACTTCGCCAGATCCCTATGACTTGCGGGCAGTGACCTGCGGTTCACCAGGCCGCAGACAGGCTCACACACGGTTGAACCTAGAAAACATAACAGACCCTATAAGGACATTTGCTCAGACAGACACTCACATTCAAATATGCTCTTTGCATAGTTTCCTTTGTTGAATATTAAATATGTCAGGGCAAGATTGACGCACACAAAATTCCTTTTTTCGTTATTGTTTTATTGAATAGATATTTGATCATATTTGATCACAGTGTCTAAATATGGTAAGGGTTGCAGCTGTGGTCTGTACTGGGAGAACAAAGAGAGCTCAGTTCATCATCAGGTTCCTGCCTATCAGTTCAATGTCACTTTGTTGGGGAAACAACCTGTGAGTGAAATTGTAGCATTCAATTAGTTGCATGGCTTCAGTGGAAAAGAATCAGTCACAACTCCAAGGCCACGCTTCTCCTTTCTCATACTCATTCGCTAAAAGAAACAGATATAATCCTGCAAGCATTCACACCAAGTGATTTTCAGTAAATGATGATTATCATTTGTTACTCAGTTATTCCACTGAATACTAAATATGACAGAGCAAGAATGACGCACACAAAATTCCTTTTCCGTTATTGTTTTATTGAATAGATATTTTATCATTTACATTTGTTGTTCTTACAGCTCCGTTTTAGGTTCTGCACCAGCCTGCTTCACATCCTGGAAAGCACAAAAAAGTTATTAGAATAATAAAGCAAAAAAAAATGAAACACTCTAAACCTTTACCTTCATCAAGTTCACCTCTTTTTAAACCATACAGACTCTTCAAGATGGACAAAAAGAGTTCAATCTTAGAGAGGAAAGGTGTGAGTGACTATTGGTCATAATCCTCTTTGACTTCGTTCAGGAAAACTGTCATTTCTGCTCACCTTTAGTTCCCCTCGTAGGAAGGACTGACAGAATTCTTGCACTCGTTCAGGAGAGATCTCTCCCTCAGGAAGGAGCCATTTCATGTCAGAGTCTCCGTCATAGATACCAACTCGTGGGAGGCCCTGAGACTTGAGACCGAAGTAGCTCAAAGATCGAGAGTTGGACTTCACAGCTCCATTAATGACCACAAACAAGAACTGAAATGGAGTTTTTGGATCTCATCAAGCTACTTATACTGTAGATACGATAAATTTACCTCGTAAGTGTAAATATCTCTTGGTAATTTTTGGTGATTACCTTTCCTGTGAATTCGGGTGCAAGAGTTTGCAGTTTCTTCTTGAGCTCACTGAATTCTTTTGTACCTCTGTTGGCAAAGAGCAGGAGATGTGACTTCACCTTTGAGTTGAACAAGCCCACTGCAGTCTGAGGAGACAGAAAACAGCAGATTTCTGCGACTGATCATTATAATCCACGTGTACCGGGCTGTCATGTTCAAAGAAGGGATGCCAAACATGATAGGTACCCGCAGTTGCTTTTGAAAAATGTACATTTTTGTAAAGAAGGAAACACAAAAGTTGGACCTACCACTTGATTATATTCTGTGACGTATCGGACTTCATTGATGGTGATGAAGTTCACAAGACCATCAGCGTCTAAATTTTTGGCCTCGGCAAGGACAAGATTTTCCTGGGCTTCATCAGCCTGAGTCACAAAGTACACATTAACACCATCTCACACAAATGACAATATCTATCAAATCTGAAAATATGACTCACATACGTAAGTGCAAAAGTGAAGAATACCTTTCTGAAAATGGTAATGGCGTCTGAAGAGAGGCTGTAGTCGGCCCACACCTCCTTCACTGTGCAAATGGCAACAGGGACTGAGTCAACTCGCTTTGCAGCTGCGACGAGCTCCTTGAAACCGTGACTCTCTTCTCCCTGATAGACCAGAGGGACCGGGAGTTATAGAGGAAGATTTTATCCACTTCTCACCTTTTTTCATTATTGTCAGGAAACAACGTTTGATGACATGTTCTGCCTCTTTCTAAAAAATATTACTTTTGTTGTTTTGCTTATACAAGCTGCATCAGCAGGGAAACACAGGAATTACCCTGTGATGTACTGGAGGACAGAGCTGTTGCGGGATTATTCATTTCAAAATATTTTAACATTTAGTTTTTCATACGCCTTTTACAGCTTCTAGAAGAATAATTGTGCTTTATTGAATTTTTTAACCCAAGGTTTTTCTATTTTATACAACAAATTACAGAGGCGCACCGAGATCTTAAAGTTAAAATATATGACCTAGACATCAACGCACCATTTCAACATTTTCCAGTATTCAGTTAATTTCTTATGTTTTAACTCTGAACTTTCCCCAGAGAGCCTGAAATTACATGTTTAAGCCATGGGTGAAACCATGAAGCCATGTATGATATGTCTGGCATAAAAAGACACACTGCAGGGCAGAGGTATGGACGCAGAGGGGAGGAGAAAAACAGGAGTGTAATGTTACATAAACGCAGAGAGCTGGGGATGACTCAAAGGAAGGTGAATCACGACTATTTCTGAGACGGTATTGCATGAGCTCTGGCTCTGTATTTTATTATTTTGCAGCCTGTAATATGTGATCATTTCCAGTGAGTCACAGAGACAATATTTTGGTCTCTCCTTGCCTTCAGCATCTTCATCCAGCTCTGAGTTATCCTCATGTGCTCTCTGCCTCTCTTCCCTGCTCTCCTCTCATGAACTGTCTTTTTGCACTTGTTCACAATGCAGGCCGATAAAGCCAAATCCCACATGTCTTTAGATATGTATTTCCTCTAAAAAAAACCCCTCCATCTTCCTTGGGACAGCCAGCCACCCTCTGTCCTCACAGGCCTGCACTGCCAAAGGTGTGGCCAGCGGAAATACATTCTTCCATCGAACTCTATTTGTGACCGCAGCTTCACTAACACGGCGCAAACAAAAGATCTATTTCGGGAGCCCTCTCTTTTTGGTGTCTGACTTTAAGCTAATTTGTTTGATCATGTCTGGTTTGCCGTACGCGTGTTACGGTTGTAAACTAAGTCATAAAGCAGCTCCTGCGGGTTTGTTTTGAATGATGTCTGAAAGCTCATTTGAGCCTGTGGTTAAGACTTCTTTACACTAACCTCGAGGAATCCGATGACCACCACCTCTGCAGAGTCGATGAAGGCCTTCGTAGCTTTGGTGTCATTTAGTCTGGGAAGGGCACTGTCTGAAAATGTAAGGAAACAAAATAAGAAACTGAGAAACCCAAAGCTGTTGGCGAGATGCTGACTTGGCATGCTGCTGTCCTTACAGTGCTGACTGTAACATACAGAAAATGAAGGCGAAAGAAGGATCCTGGTCTGCTGTGATAGCATGCTAACACATGGTAACGCCAAGGCTGATAATCAATATAAGTACTCTCACCAAACTTTAGGAATAATCAAAACACTATCATCATGACAGCAACTCATTAAAAGGTAAGTCAGGGTGACCATATTCTGGAACCCCAAAAAGAGGACAAAACTACGCGGGGGCGGAATCACAGAGTCGCACATAGTTAATTTTGAGAGTATTTCCGGTCTGATCGAGTGTTTTTTACGTGTCTCTAACGCAGTGAGCCCACACGACACAAACTCAAAACTTCCATACAAAAACCCGGACATTTCATGGATTTAATAAACTCCTCCTGGACAAAGCTGTACAAGGCCGAACAGGCTGGACAGCCCCCCAAAAAGAAGACCTATCCAGGTTAAAGAGGACATATGTTCTTGACAAAGTTTTCACAATTTGTCATGAAAGACAAGTAATTCTCGTCTCAAGCTAATCGAAAATAAAATGAGACTCGAAACTGAAAAAGTGCCACAGAGACAACCGGAGAAAGATTATTCTTCAAAAAAGAAATAAATAATCAGTCTCTCTTTTAAGGGAATTTTGTCGGAAATTGATTAAATATTTCGCAAATAAGAGTAATCTGAGATTTACTCAAGGTGACCCCAGAGTCAGTGATTCCATCTCCATAAACTTGGGGTAAAACTTAAAACTGTCGTTGAATTGTGTCAAAATGGTACTTGCCAAAGCGCAAAATTCAAGGCCTCAAAATATCAACCACAAATCAACAACCAGATCTGCGCTGGAGTTCATGTTAGTCTTACCACCATGTGCTAGAATTATGTCTAAAAACAGCTGCAACACTTTGAATGAAAGCAAAAGGTCATAATCCACACTGTACTCAAATATATGACAAGGACACCAAGCAAACGACTTTACCTTTATCTGTGGCAATGACAGTGGACACCAGGAAGGAGAAAACTAGGATGATCAGCATGTTTCAATTCAACTGACTGACAGGAAGACAAGAGAGAAATTAAATCGAGGAAGACTGAGCTGTTTGACTCCCTACAAAAAGTCGCGTCACCTCTGCTCGATCTCTGACCGATTGCCAAATGGCAGCCAACTGTGGCTGCTGCAGTTTCTTTGAGATGTGATTGGAGGCTTCATGGGAAGCGGGCAGGTGTTCTTGTTGGGTGGGTCGGTGGGTGGGAGGGGGTGCTGGGACTTTGGACGACGTATCACCATGCAGAAGTGGACTTGTGAGTGCAGAGCATGGCATCTAAGGTTAAGAGGAATAATGATGACATGGCCCTCCTGATCTGGAGAGAAACATCCCACATCTTTTATCTTTTTTCGTCCCGCTCAATCTGGGATGAGTAACATACATCTGCTGTGGGTGGGAAGCTCTGCTCACACCTGATTAATCCTCAAGTTTTATCTGGAAAGAGTCTCCCCTGACACATGTAGAGACAAGATTATTCAGGCTGCATTTTAGGACTTTCACCACAGGAGGGACACAATTTCCACATAATCCATCCCTTCATTCACACCCAGAGAAGTCGCTGCTCAGAGACGGCTATTTGAAGACACAGACTATGGTATATGTTCCCTCTTTACTATCTGTCATTAGTATTATTTCCCCTTCTGGATGACTACTCAAACCTACCAGATATCCACTGAAAAGTGTTAAGACACTTCTTATAATTCATTTCTTTTTAATTGTTAAATTACAGATTTGAGGTAGTACCAAAGTTATTCAGAGTTAAAGGGGGACAAGTTTTGATCTGATCAGTTACTTCAAGAATCTAAAGTGATCACAAATCCTTAAAGTCACATGATGGCATGAAGTTGGTTTCTAAAACATGACCAGTTAATGTAATCCATAAAACTGTTAAATGCACATCACAATACAAAATCATTTTCAAACCTAGAAAATGTTCTTTATTTCTGTTTCATTAGATCAAAATACAATCTCCTTAAGGAAGTAAACAAATTCAAACTAAATTGAACTCTAATATAACTGTTTGAAGAAAAAAAAAATACTTCAATGATTTCCACATAGATCTTTCTAGAAAGATACAAAGCCACACCAACCACCACAGAAATGTCAAAGATCTCAGTGTTGGCACAAAAAGCCGCTGAAAAGCAACATTATATATGGTTATAAAAATAAAGTGAAAGAATAGTTCATGGCAGATCTGTATGATTTTTTTTAAATCTGAAAAACAAGAGCTGAATTCCAGACAAACAAACAAACAGCTTGGTTGACCACAGAGCATAAAAATCTGCTTGATGCACTTAAATGACCTCCATAAGGCAAAGAAAGCAGTGAGAGTTTTTAGGTCAAACCCATTGAACCGACCCCTACGCATCAATAAAATCCAGAAACTTTTCATGTGTAAGTCAAACTAAAAACACTGGATATTTTGAGTGTTTCTATAGTCAAACTCGAGCAGACTATTTCAAGCAATAACGAACAAATACTCTGGGTCATAAATGTAGCCATCTGTAAGGTCACGGGCGCGCAAATTAGAAACAAAATCAAAAACAAGCTAATTCGTCTGTAAGCTGAGACGAGCGTCATGTTATCTTAAGGACTTGTTTGTATGATGTTTGTTCTCATGGAGCTTAACTCCTTCAGAGAAACACTAATGCTGCAAACTAGGGCAGGACTCAGCGTCATAGACTTATGACTTCTGTTGAACACGCAAACACAGGTGTGTAAGTGCAGGCTGCTCTCCTCAGGTGAAACACAAACCTTCTTATCAACACTTGTTCTCGCTGAACTCTCAGAATTTTGAAAGCTCCAAATAACAGCCCACTGAACAGTTTGTGCACACAAAGCACTGATGAAGAAGTTACACTGATTAGTGTGTAAGTAAAAGGACAGAGGAAAAGCAGACAGGGGGACGGGTGACTATGTTTTTTGAGAGTTGGATTAAAAAAAAAAAACATTTCAAGGATTTTTTTAAGAAGTTGAGTGCTTGTTCGTATTCAAAAAGTCTATTTATGGTGAGTTATAAAAAAAAAACAAGTGTTCAGAGAGATTGTGAGAAGGTATTATTACATGATATATGTTTGTGGAGTTTTTCGGGTGGTTTTATTTAGCTGTTTTTTTAGAGGGTCATGGACAGAGCAAGGAAATGGGGACAGAGAGTGTGGAGTAGCATGAAAGGAGCCACAGGCTGGAATCAAACCCGGCTGCCTGCTTCAGGCAAAACCTCCATATATGGGGCGCACGCCTTGCCTAGACTGCAAGGCCAGCAGCGGCCCAATGACATATATTTTATGTGAGGACTTCTTCTAGATCCTTGTTTTCAGAGAAATCTGTGTCTCGATTAAAAATACTTCATATTGTGTTTTACTCCTCATCCAGAACGGTACTTTTTAAAGCTACTCCAAGAACCTTTATTTGTGTGATGATCTTGGATATCCTGGGGACAAAGTGGGGCCTCTTATCCCTTTTTCTCGGAATTTAAAATATCTACTCATGATAAAAACATCCCACTGTCTTGTAAAAGTTAAACAGATTACACACTTGCTGTCAATCTTTGCCATGGAAAATGTTTCACAGTAAAACCGTTTTGGTGATGCGCTGTCGGACACCTGCCCAGCAGCAATGGTAACAGGCGGTTAAACTTACTATAGAAATTTCACTAGTGCTGTTGGTATCAGAAGGTTAAAAAGGGCTGCAAATTAAGACACCAAAAAAGTCATTTTACTCATTTCCTCACACTGTTTTTAAGAACATTTTGACTCCAAAGTTGACTCCAAAACAACCAGCATTAGACTGGCAATGCCATTAAACATGTTGAAACTATTGGTGACTTTAGTTCAGGTTTTAAATAGTTTCCTTTTCAGACTTTTTGTATCTTTCAGACTTCCTCTGTCTGGCTACAAACAGCACTTTAACATCTTTGAGTTATAACATCACAGACAAATAGGTTTCTCTGTAAAGTTGGTGTTTATAGCCTTCCTGACAAAAAGCAGACTAAAGAGAGGAAGTGGGAGGAAGAACAAACACAGACAGAAAAAAAAACAAGTGTTGTCATAGGACATTTCTGACTACTTGTGGATGAGTGTGACGCGTTCGACAGGCTTGCAGACGATTCAGTTTGGGTTCAAATTAGAGGCCCACACACTCATGTAGTTGGTGCTGCAAATAAACAAAAGGCGAAAGTGACAATTTCAAACACAGTGGCAGAAACTCAAACAGCAGAGCTGCTACAGAAGCTTATTGATGTTTTTATACTTGAGGGATTGTGGCGACACTTGATCTTTTTGTCAGAATAATGTCAAAAGCAGACAAGTCTGGAAATGCTGCTGGAGACATAATGTTCTGTACCAGGTTATTTATTAATTTTCTGCCAACCATAAACAAAGACAATACAACTTTTTTTAAGACATCATCAAGGTAACTTAAAGGGAAATTCCGGAGTAAAATTAAGTTAGGTCAAATACACTGTAACACTGAGTTTGACACCCCCCAAGAGATGAGATGAGATTGTTTGTGGGGGGAGCCCTGATGAGTTGATCACCGTGTGCAGCGGAGTTTCGCAGCTCAAGGAAGAACATTTATGATTATTACTCCATGGAAATGTAATCAGTCCAATCAGAAATCAGGCAAAGTTAAAAAGATGTTTGATGGCTAGTACTACGGCTGTGACCCTATAGGTACTCTTGATGAATTTAGGTGCTGTTCTGAGCATTATTTGTGGCTCTAGAGTGGCATTTTTGTTGAGGTTTGCACATAGAGATGTAGACCGCTGTGTATTGCTATCGCGTGGTCGTTACTACAGTTGGTATAACTAGAGAAGCAAGCGGTCGGCAACATTCATCTTTCGAGGGGGTTTCTAACTTGGTGTTACGGTGTGTTTGACTTAATTTTACGCCAGAATATCCCTCTAATAGATCGATGCAATGCAATTCACTGCAGTTCAGACACTTCTCCCTTGCAAAGTGCTTGTAAAGATCACCCTGTGAGGTAGGGCAGTAACCACTGTGAGGCAGATCCAGTGACACCAAGCTCAGTGACTGTGAAGAGAAACATTTGGTGGTAATCAGCTGATTAAATTTGTATACAAAGATTTTTTTTTTTTCTGCATTATCACTGAAGATGATTTTATGAAATTACAGAAGGTCTTTTGAGATTTGTTACAAGCCATGAGTCTTCAATCTGCCATCACTCCTTCATTGGTTACTGATGAAAAATAGCTGGGAAGGTCACATGATCATCTGATGAGAGAAGCTGGCAAACTGCACATTTAAGCAGCTGCAGCTGAGCTTTTGTGACCTGTGGGCTGATCTTTGCATATTCATTGAAATTTAATTATAAATACGATATTCAAATGAAATTATATGAGTAATTCTAAGGGTTTCTTACATGAGTAAATTTCAGTTTTTTAACCTACAAACATAACTTCAGTTTTAACCTTAAAGTTGTTTATGTATCTCTGACATTATTAAGATCTTCAATTTGCAGTTTTGGTACATGTGAAATAGGTTTCCGTGCAGCTTGAATCTTCAATGTAAAACCAGCCTGGTACAGTCAGTATGCTCAATCTCAACAGGTCGCTAAGAGTTTCTGTGCATTTAAAGGTGGGATCAGTGATGTAATCCAGGTATACAAGAGCTGCATGGATTACTGGTATTCAGATTGCAGCCAGATTAAGGATGTCACTGTTTGTCAGTCTTTACCAGTTACACAACCTTTAACCCTTATAGGCTTTGACACAGCATTAGAGCGTAAAGGTCTCACATCATGTGGTATTAATCCTCCTGCAATGCTGCTCAGTTTGTGCTCACAGAGCTGACGACTCTCTACTTGCCAATTTAGACATTTAAGAAAAACACGAGCAAATATTGAACACATTTAAAAATAATTAAAAGGACTACTTTACATGAAGGCTTTTAAACAACACTGTAAAAAACAAAACCCAAATTTCATGTTTGTGTTTGAAATGTAAAATCTCTCTTTCCAATACTGGGTCTCAT